AATTTAAACATTTTCCCAGGAATTTAAACATTTTCCCTGCAGATGGAACTTTTTCCCTGGAATTTAAACATTTTTCCCTGGAATTTAAACATTTTCCCTGGAATTTAAACATTTTCCCTGGAATTTAAACAATTTCCCATCAGTTTAAACATTTTCCCTTCAGTTTGACGATTTTCCCTGCAGTTTAGACCATTTTCCCTGCAGTTTAGACCATTTTCCCTGCAGTTTAAACTTTTTTTTTCCTGAAATTAATACATTTTTCCCTGGAATTAATACATTTTTCCCTTCAGTTTGGCGATTTTCCCTGGAATTGAAACATTTTTCCCTGGAATTGAAACATTTTTCCCTGGAATTGAAACATTTTTTCCCAGGAATTTAAGCATTTTCCCAGGAATTTAAGCATTTTTCCCAGGAATTTTAAACATTTTCCCTGGAATTTCAACATTTTCCCTGGAATTTCAACATTTTCCCTGGAATTTCAACATTTTCCCTTCAGTTTGACAATTTTCCCTGCAGTTAAAACAGTTTTCCCTGGAATTTAAGCATTTTCCCTGGAATTTAAACATTTTTCCCTGGAATTTAAACATTTTTCCCTGGAATTTAAACATTTTCCCTGAAGTTTAAACATTTTTCCCTTCAGTTTGACCATTTTCCCTGGAATTAAAACATTTTTTCCCAGGAATTTAAACATTTTCCCAGGAATTTAAACATTTTCCCAGGAATTTAAACATTTTCCCTTCAGTTTGACCATTTTCCCTGCAGTTAAAACAATTTTCCCTGGAATTAAAACATTTTTCCCGGGAATTTAAACATTTTTCCCTGCAGTTTGAGTATTTTCCCTGGAGCTGGAAATAATTTTCCCTGCAGTTACAACACTTTTTCCCTGAAGTTTAAACATTTTCACTGCAGTTTAGACCATTTTCCCTGTAGTTAAAAGATTTTTCCCTGGAATTAAAAGATTTTTCCCTGGAATTTAAACATTTTCCCTTCAGTTTAAACATTTTCCCTTCTCTTTGACCATTTTCCCTGGAATTTAAACATTTTCCCAGGAATTTTAACATTTTCCCTGCAGTTACAACAATTTTCCCTGGAATTAATACATTTTTCCCTGCAGCTGGATCGTTTTCCCCTGCTGTTTAGAGCATTTTCCCTGGAGATAAAACATCTTTCCCTGCAGTTTACACCATTTTCCCTGCACATAAAATATTTTCCCTGCAGATAAAGCAGTTTTCCTTCAGATACAACATTTTCCCTGCACTTAGACCATTTTTCTCTGCAGATAAAGCATTTTCCCTCCATTTAGAGAATTTTTCCTGCAGCTGGATCATTTTCCCTTGCAGATAAAACATTTTTCCCTGCAGTTTAAACCATTTTGCCCAGAGTTAAAGCACTCATCTGCATTTTAGAGCATTTTCTCTGCAGATAAAGCATTTTCCCTCCATTTAGAGCATTTTCCCTGCAGATAGAGCATTTCCCCTGGACTTAAAACATTTTTCCCTGCAGATAGAACCTTTTTTTCCTGGAGATAGAACACTTTCCCTGCAGATAAACCATTTTCCCATCAGTTTAGACCATTTTCCCTTCAGATAGAGCATTTTCTCTGCAGTTTAAATATTTTTCCCTGCATTTAAACAATTTCCCCTACAGTTCAGACCATTTTCCCTGCACTTAGGACATTTTTCCCTGCAGTTTAAACCATTTTCCCTGAACTTAGAGCACTCCCCTGCATTTTAGAGCATTTTCCCTGGACTTACAAATTTTTTCCCTGCAGATAAAACTTCTTTTCCTGCATTTTAGTGCATTTTCCCTGCAGATAGAGCATTTTCTCTGCAGTTTAAATATTTTTCCCTTCAGTTCAGACCATTTTCCCTGCAGGTAGAACATTTTCCCTGCACTTTAAACCATTTTCCCTGCAGTTTAAACCATTTTCCCTGTAGTTCAGACCATTTTTCCCTGCAGATAAAACATTTTCCCTGCAGATAGAGCATTTTCTGTGCAATTTAAGTATTTTTCCTGCAATTTAGACCATTTTCCCTTTGGTTCAGACCATTTTCCCTTCAGTTCAAACAATTTTCCCTGCAGTTTAGATAATTTTCCCTCCAGATAAAACATTTTCCCAGCAGTTCAGACCATTTTTTGCTGCAGATAGAATATTTTCCCTGCACTTAGAACATTTTCCCTGCATTTTAGAGCAGTTTTCCTTCACATAGAGCATTTTCTCTGCAGTTTAAATATTTTTCTCTGCGTTTTGACCATTTCCCCTGCACTTCTGACCATTTTTCCTGCAGTTCAGACCAATTTTCCCTGCAGGTAGAACACTTACCCTGCAATTCAAATATTTTTCTCTCCAATTAAAGCATTTTCCCTGCAGTTCAGACCATTTTTCCCTGCAGATAAAATATTTTCCCTGCACTTTAAACCATTTTCCCTGCAGTTCTGACCATTTTCCCTGAAGATAAATCATTTTCCCTGCAGACAGAGCATTTTCTCTGCAGTTTAAATATTTTTCTCTGCATTTTGACCATTTTCCCTGCAGTTTAGGCCATTTTTCCCTCAGAAAAAAACATTTTCCCTGAAGTTAGAGCATTTTCCCTGCAGTTCAGACCATTTCCCCTGTACTTCTGACCATTTTTCCTACAGTTCAGACCATTTTATCTGCAGGTAGAACACTTACTCTACAGTTCAAATATTTTTCCCTCCAGTTAAAGCATTTTCCCTGAAGATAAAACATTTGCCCTGTATTTAGACCATTTTCTCTGCAGTTTAAATATTTTTTCCTGCAGTTCAGACCATTTTTCCTGCAGTTTAGAACATTTTCCCCGCAGCTCAGACCATTTTCCCTGCAGGTAGAACATTTTCCCTGTAGTTCAGACCACTTTCCCTGAAGAAAAAACATTTTCCCTGCAGACAGAGCATTTTCTCTGCAATTTAAATATTTTTCCCTGCATTTAGACCGTTTTCCCTTTGGTTCAAACCATCTTCCCTGCAGTTAAAGCCTTTTTACCCAACTAACGGGATCCACCAAATCCTCCAGCCCTCTAAAAACAGGGAATAAACCCCAAATCCTCCAAATCCTGCTAAAAACAGGGAATGAACCCCAAACAGGGAATGAACCCCCAAATCCTCCAACCCTCTAAAAACAGGGAATGAGCCCCAAACAGGGAATGGAAACCCAAACTGGGAATGAAACCCCAAACAGCGAATGAACCCCAAAATCCTGCTAAAAACAGAGAATGAAATCCCAAACAGGGAATGAACCCCAAATCCTGCTAAAAACAGGGAATGAACCCCAAACAGGGTATGAAACCCCAAATCCTGCTAAAAACAGGGAATGAAACCCCAAACAGGGAATGAACCCCAAATCCTGCTAAAAACAGGGAATGAACCCCAAACAGGGAA